TATTAGTCAGAGACGAAGGTAGAAAACTTTCTCAGATATGCAGGCCCCCAAACATTTTACTTCTCATATGCACTTTCTCTGGATTTACTGTATGATATTCTCCAGTGAAATGATGGTGTAAAACAAAACACAGGAAGACTCAGGGTCCAGTAAACAAAAAACCCACTGCAGAGCGGGGGTGCAAGAAAGACGGGATGGAGAAGCGGCGTCGCCTAATGAGGGCTGTGAATGACACCACATCCCAACTAGACCAAGGCGACAGACGTCTCCAGAAGGGACGTCCCCCCAACCAAAAAACAAAACAAAACAAAACACACACCCAAAAGGCAGCAACATCAAAAACCAAACCAAAGAGAGCTGATGAATTACCTGATGCATTTGGAAATTAACACTGGTATGCATTTAGAAATCTGTAGGAGCTTTGGGGGAAAAAAAACGATGGGTACATACAAACAAGTAACAGCAAGGCAATGATTACCTCTAGGTAAAACATCTGGTTATCTAAAACAAGAATCACAACCCTAGGACGCTGCTTGGATTAGTTATAATAAAGTAACGCTGGCGGCTGTGGCGCTCACCCGGCACTGGGAGAATGGGAAAGGCGAGGTCCGGGTAGTGACAGGAGCCCTCAGTCCTCACCTGCCTTCACAGGAGCCCAACAGGTCAAAGTGGATAAATCGAGGCCTAATGCCCTGTACCAATTATTTAGAAATAAAGAGGCAAATACCAGAAGGAACAGCTAAAACTGTTGAAAGTGGTGGGACTGGGGGTGGGGTCCTTTTTCATCACTGGGCTCTTAGAGCCATTCGGCTTTTCTCTCTCTCTCTCTCTCTCTCTCCCCGCCCCTCTTCTCTCTCCCCCCCATATATATAGACATACATACACACACACGTACATATACATATTTATATTTACATTGATTTTAGAGAGAGAGGGGAAGGGGAGAAGGAGGGAGAGAAACATCCATTTGTTGTTTCACTTATTCATGCACTTAATTGGTTGCTCCTTGTATGTGTTCTGACCAGAGGCTCAACCCGCAACCTCGGCATATCAGGAGGACACTCTAACCAACGGAGCAACCCAGCCAGGGCAGAACCGTCCTGCTTTTAAACATCATCACAGATGGTGTGTGTTCCCCGCCGATGAGATGGCTCCGCCTCCTGGAGACCCTGTGAATGAGGGATGGGTGCTGTCCTGTCCTCAGCAGCCCGGCTCAGCCCGTCGACTCCTGCCGACAGCTGCTTTTCTGGAGTCAATCCATCTCATACTTGGACTTCTTCTTTTCCTGCAGCCTTTTATTTTCCCCAGCACTCTTGTCAGTTGTGTATTACTTTGATAGGCAATAAATATTTGTGCTTTCAAAAGTGAATGAAGAAGCAGGAATACACTGCTTATTTTATCTGAACAACTTGGACCCCAGGGTACTGCAGGAACCACGCCCGAAGACATAGGAAGGGAGCTGATGTTAAGTGTGTGCTGTGTCAACCGAAGCCTCTGGTATCAGCATCATCTACGGGTTCCAGGTCTGGCACCGCCCTCCAGCCCGAGGGCAGAGTGGGGGACACAAAGAAGATCAGGCCGAAGTCAACACCTGGGGCCTGAACCCAAGGGAGCAGCTCTGTCTCAGCAAGGTGCTGACTCCGTCCATGCTTTATCTCACTTGACTTTCTCAAGAAGGTTGTGGGTAGGGTTTTTTAATATCCTTGAAAACCAAAGAGGAAAATTAAGCTTAGAGTGATCACAGGTGCCCACATTTACTGAGAGGCGGAGGGGAAACCAAATCCAAAGCCCTGATCCCAATCTCTCAGCCACTAGAACTCCCAGTGACTTTACGTGTTTGCAACTGTGCACAGTAGGCCACACCAGGCTCTTTGTCTTTGAATAAGTCCCTTCACCTCTCTGACGTCAGTTTCCTCCCTCAGAGAAGTTAATGTGTCCTGCTCAGCCGCACTCATGTGGCTCAAACAAGATATGTGAGCTTTTTAAAAATTACACTGTCGATTTCTGCAAATTAAAATGTTACTTTTGATGACAGGAAGGGAAACAGGAGGTCTGTGACACTATTTGCTGTCCTATATAAACTCTAGGACGGCCATCCCTGGGTCGCTGACACGACCGAGTGCTACCACAGCCCCCCAGACAGGCAGCCCGGGTTCTGGACTGGCACGCCACCCATGTTGGCAGGCGGGCTGGTGCTGCGGGCAACCTAATCGTAAATGAATGGAACACCGCCTTCCCTTGGGTCTAAGGATTTATCCTTCTTTTTTATTTTCCATGAATCCCAGAGTACTCGCAAGTGCTGTAGCCCTCAGCTCATGCTTGGCATTTGTAACTAGACCGAACTGAGCAACCCCGAGAGAGAGAGAGAGAGAGAGAGAGAGAGAGAGAGAGAGAGAGAGAGAGAGAGAGAGAGAAAGAAATGGTCTCTCCCTCCGCACAAGCATGATTTGGGGCAACTTTCACTAGCCCGGGGTTGGGTGTGATTTCATCAGCTCAGGGGCTTCTCCAGCCATTTACTGCCCACGCCTGCCACCTAGTGGACAGCGCTCAATTTTTATTCCTGAACGTTTTCAAAGTGCTCTCACATTCATTAAACAAAAACCAACAGCTACTCTTAAAAACTGTGAGGTATGTAAGGTTGGTATTATTATTTCCAAGTTATAATGAGAAAACAAGAGCTTGGAGAGAGGACAGAATCTGCAAGTTCCTGGAACTACATACATTTAGCGACTTTTCCCTCCTTTAAGCAAAAACCCCAAATATAGTTTTGAGTGCTCTGGGTTTCAGCCCAGTTTAAGTTCTGGCTCAGCAACCATCACCAAGTGAGGTCCTTTCACAGACCTGCATTTGATCACTACCAGGCCCTCATTATTTTGAATATTTGCATTTCATGGAACTATTCTGTACAATGAATGTACTGATGTACTTCCAGAAGGGAATGTGATGGCGGATACCACATTTCAACCTGTGTGTGTTAATGATTACGGGTTGTTGAAATTGCTCAAAACTGGGTTTAGTTAAATATGAAAATATAGGTACTGGGATCTCCCCAAAAGTCCTTTGACTACAGCCATCGACCATTTTATAATGTGTACTTGGCTTTGAAGTTCTCTGGCTGCAGGGAACTCTAAGGCGAGTATGCCCTCCAGGGAGCAGGGTGCCCAAGCTCAACCCCAACTGACAGTGCGATTCACTAGGTTTGTGACCACAGGCAAATTGCATAACCTCCCTGCACCTCCTCTTCCCGACAGGGAAAACAGGGATAAAAAGTACAACAGTATTCCTCCCAAAGGTGCTGTGAAGATTCAGCCACACAACACTCAGCCTGCCAGAGTAAGACCTGAGTAGGCAGGTTTCACGACATGGTGGGCTAAAGGCTACATTAGTGAGGCACAGAGGGTGCATGTTGGGGCCAGCGGAGTGGGTGTTTACTTTAAATATGTTCTCCTAGTTGAGGGTCTCAACCCAGGTGGTGGTCTGCAAGTCCCTCTCCCAGGGAGGGGCTGTGTGCTGGGAATGCTGTGCACACTAGGGTTATCCAATGATAGAAAGCACTACAAGAAAGAGGAGGAATCAGATGTGGTGCAAGGGACTATCCCACCCAATTAAGAACTGTCCCTTGAATAGAGACATTTCTCTAAAGTACATGTATAAATGACCAAAGAGCAAGTGGAAAGATGTTCGACATCACTAATCTTTATGGAAATGCAAATTACAATCACGTGAGATACCACCACACACCATTAGGATGGCTCTTACAAAAAACAGAAGACGGGTGTTGGTGAGGATGTGGAGAAACTGGAACCTTTATGCACTGTTGATGGGAATATAAACTGGTGTAGTCGTTATGGAAAGCAGTATGGGAGGCAGCTCCTTTCGAATTAAATGTAGAATTACCATATGATCCACAACACCACTTCTGGGTATGCATCCAAAAGATTGAAACGAGGGACTTGTACAGATACTTATAAATCCATATGCATAACAACATTACTCACAATAGCCAAAAGGTGGAAGCAACCCGTGTGTACTGATGAATGAATCGATCAACAGGATGTGGCATATCCATGTAATTAAATATTATTCAGCCTTAAAAAGGAAGGAAATCTCCATTTTGACACATGCTACAACATGGATTAACCTTGAGGATATTATACTAAGTGAAATAAGCCAGTCGCAAAAGAACAAATACAGGGAGGGGCAAAAGTAGGTTTACAGTTGTGAGTATGTGAAACACAGAGTTTATTTTTATATTATTATTTATTATTGTATTATTTTCCATAGGAACAATTGTAAATCCACCTTTGCCTCACCCTGTATTGTTTGAGTCCTCTCATATGCGGTACCTACAGTAGTCAAATTCATAGACAGAAGGTGGAATGGTGGTTGCCCGGGGCTGGGGAGGGGAAGAATGAGTTCGTGTTTCTTGGGTACAGAGTTTCGGTTTTGCAAGATGAAAAGAATTCTGAAGACAGATGGTAATGATGTAAATTACTCAGCACAACGGAACTGTATATTTACCCACGGTTATGAGAATAAATTTTATGTGTATCTTAGCACAATTAAAAAAAGTTGTCCCACCCAAAGTCCAATAGTGTCTCTTTGAGAGATACTGCTAGAATATCTAAAACTGATGAAATATAGATGTTATTTGGTTACAAAAAATTCATTCATACTAGTGAGACCTAAGCTGACTAGTGCATTTGTCATACTTGCCTAGGTTTCCTCTGTGTCTCAGTTGCCAGGTTACGGAGACCCCTAAGATCAGGTTAAGGAACCTCCTCAAGGAGCCAAAAACCCAGCAGTGGGATCAGATGGAGTCACATTATGAAGCTGGTAGCTCTAGTTTCATGGAGTTCTCATTTACTTATAGTAATTAATTTACAAGTTACCCCTACTGATCAATAAGATCACATTAAAGGCAGCAATTTGGGATTTCCAGCTTCAAATGATATTTTCAGATTTCAGTGGGAAACTAAACGGGAAGAAAAAGTTCTTACCTTGTAGATGCACGACTTGGCATTCAGGAAGAAGAGCTCAATGGTGGCATTATCCTTTAGGTAAGAAATGCTTTCTATGTAGAACCTGGAAGAGAAAAACTGCAAATGAATCACAGGAGCACTGATCAGGCAGATAGTCGACCGTTCTTTAAGCTACACGATTGGACACGAGGATATGCACACCATATTCTAAATGAACAAAAGAAAAAGGCATCATCTGTTACTTTCGCATGATTCCTTTCTGAAAGAAAACAGTGTTTTTTGAGTCCATTTACAGCGGGTTAAGACCATCAGGCTTAATAGCCCCTACCGCGGCCAAGAACTGGGCCTGCCATCGACTTCTTAGAGTGGACCTGAATTTGACCACCAAATTTCTTTTCCCTCACCTGCTTTCCTTTAAAAAAAAAAAAATATATATATATATATATATATATATATATAATTTGTATTCAATATTATTTGTTTTCAATATTGTTGCGCTAGATTTTTAAAAGATAATTTCTTCTGCTTAATCAAGTCAGGGGGCCATATTTCTCCTAGAAATGGTTATGACCGCTCTTCCCGAAGGTGGCGATCCATGGTTTGAGTTCCTGCACATCCAGAGGGTTGTGAAAGCGTAACACTGAATTATTAATGCATATTAAGCCAAATGAGAATTTAATTTTTACCCAGATGGAGCTTACAGATTTTTCCCAAGATGAAACATGCTAAAATTATTTAAGTTTACATTAAATAAGCCTTACACGTCAACTGTGGAGTTTATTAAATCCCAATTTAGTGAAGGTCCTTGTACTCACCTAAGGGCCGGCTGCACTAGGGAGAAGGAATTGTCATGAGAGAGGGAAAAAATGACTGAAATGCAGAGCCTTGGAGGGGAGGAGGGCTTTGAGCCGGAGGGGCAGCTCTTGGAGGGCAGTGGATACCTGCCTAGTAGAAACTGGGGACAGACAGCAAGAGGGCGCTGAATGTGAAAAGAGAAGGAACGAATGGTATAATGATGTAGGACAGCATTACAAGGTGATGGGAAGAACCCTGGGGAGGGAGTCAAGGGGCCAGGGATCCGGTCCCGGGTCTGTGAGATTTCGGGTGAGTCACATAATCTCTCTGGGCCTGTTTCCCAGATTGTAAGAGAAGACAACAAGATTCACGCGGGGGTTCTGCATCTAGGAGGTCTACTGTTTTCAAATACTATAAACCAATTCAAATTAAAACAACAATCACAACAGCAAAAACAACAAACCAACATTGTATAAGGCAAACAAAACATGTCCATATGCTAGGTCAAGTGCATGGCCCACGAGTGAGCAACCTTTTGTCCACAGGCTAAGTAAATAATGTGTCCTGTCATTTTTCAAATGTGTACAGAGGCTGTTGTGATTAATACAAATTCATTTAAATTTGTGAGTGATTCCAGAGTAACTTCAAGTGTTAGCAGATAATTTCAATCAACAGATATCAGTGCAATTACCACCATGTGGGAGTCTACAGGATTTTTGGATATTACAATATGGCACTCATTCTTGCAAAGCCTGGGAATGAGAAGGCTGTTTGATCTCTATCATACCCCCTGCCCCACAAAAACAAACAAACAAACAAACAAAGAAATGAAAGCATCTGCCTCCTGGAGCAAGCATTTCAGGACATGGGGGCCTCCATACGGCCTCTGCTGTGGTCTCGGGAACTGCAAAGTTGTATATAACTTTCAGTTCTCTAACAATGGTAACTTGCAATGCAGTAGCAAATGCCACATCTCAAAGCAAGATAAGTTAAATTTAATTTAATTAAAATGTACATCCACTGTAAGGAGCTTCTGGAGAGGGGCAGTCAGAACAGCAAAACAAAAAAGGAAAGAAAGAAAAGGAGGGAAGAAGGGAGGCAGGGAGGGAGAAACTCTGGGAAAAGGAAGAGAGGGGGAGAGGGAGGGATGAGGGGGAGGGGGAGGGAATGCGGGAGGGGAGGGAAGGGAGGGGGGCGGAGGGTCCCACTCTGTGTTTCAGAAGAATGCCAGTTCAGCTGGGCAACTTTCAAGTGTGGCCTATTACAGATGAAGCTTGGTTCATGCTATTCCTCTCACCCACCCACCAAAACAACCCTCCACATCCCAACTCACTCCTGCTCCCTTCAGCCCTTGCTCAGGATCACCACACATTTTATCTGATTCCACTGACTCTCCCACAGAAGAGCTCCTCCTGGCCACCATGACACACTCTGCCTGTTGTGTTGCCTGTGGTCCTGTAATTGCTCCGTGGGATGTCTTACTAGGTAGGCTGCTGCTGCCACCGCCTCCTCGTAGTAAGGCATCTCCAGCACTACCACAGGGTCTGACAAACAGCTCATTAACTGCATATCTGTGACGGAAACACTGATTCTCAACTGCTTTCTCCACTCACCGTTTGTTGGCTAGTTCACCATTGGTGAAATGGGCGATGAAAGCAATGCGGGAGGGAGGAAAAATACACAACTACACGCTTTCCCAGATGTCATGGAATTCTGGGTTAGGGAGCGTTACACTGCGCGGCCAGGCCCTGCCCCCAGGCCCCTTCCCTCACCCTGAACGGGGACAGTTGCTCAAACAAAGCCGCTGCTTGCCTTGACCCCTAAAGCCAGAACGACAGCAGAGGCTTCCTGAGCAATAACCATTTTGAGTCTAAACCTGTTGGGTGTAAAGTAACTTTATTTTCAAAGCCATGCTTTATGTCTTTATTGCGTGTTTTGTAATTCTCAAAAACGAGAGAGTGAAGACATTCTGTCTCTCCAGCCCCTATTTTCTCACCAGTATCTTAGGGAAACACAACAATTCCCCTTTCAACTCTCTAATGGAAAACTGAAATGAGATGGCAAATTCTCATTATTATTATTTTTTTTTTTTCTGCGACAGCTTTCACTTCCACTGAGGTCTGTGTTGTCTGGCTGTCCAAGAGGCAGGAATGTAGAGGAAATAACAAGCATATTCTCAGATGGAGGAAAAAAAATCACCTCCTCTTGACAGAAATTGTAAAGCAGTTTCCTGCTAACCTTTATCACCAAGAAACAGCCTGGAAAACCCTGTGAGTTCCAGGCCTGTCATAGTGTTATTCTGTAACCTTGGATATTTAACCTCAGCCTGAGGTTTCCATCTGTGCCAGGGAGCTGGTGAGTCAAAACTGCCTAGAGAAAAACAGACCTCAGACATCTCAGTCCACGCTGAGGCCCCGTGCACCGGGGAGGAGTAACTTTTAGGGAAATGGGGAATGGCGGTGGTTTCAGTTCAAAGTTGAAATTTTCAATTTCCTTCTTTTTTTTTTTTTTATAGCCAGTTCTGTTTTTATTCTGTCTGTTTTTACATTTTCCTGAGAGCCTTGTCAAAGGTCCTCCTTTTCAGCAGCAGGTGGCAATGTTGCATTTCTTAAACTACCAGTGTTGCAGCTTGCCCAAGCACCCAGTTCACAAAGAAAATTCCAGGTTTCTGGGTGAACCCAAGAACATGAGTGATTCGCAGGTTCAGAGTGTCTGAATGGACAATTCCAAGTCTGGTTCTGTATTAACCATGGGTTATTAACAAGACATCTGGGGCCTCCCAGCATTCAGTTCCTAGAGAGAGTAGAGGACTCACCGTGAGCATGACTCTCCCGTGCAGACCAACCCATCGGGAGCCCACACCCCATTCCCGTCTCTTCTGTGGACTCTCACCCTCAGGGCCACTATCCGCCTACCCTAACTGCTCCGGGGCCAGGACAGAACAACTTGGGACGGCCCCTGTGCCCCAAAGTCCTCCAAAATAATTCAAAGCAGCCAGTCCTCACCCATTCCTTCCGCAGAAACAACAATACAAGCTCTTACCCACAGTTCCCTGTCCCTCCTGTCCCTCTGCCTCCTGACAGAGCCTGGTGCACCACACCACCCCCTGCCCCTCGGCCTGGCATGCCCCCTCCTCTTGGGAACTACAAGTAGCAAACTGTCTTCAATGGCAGCTGTCTCCGGACCTGCGGGCCTCACCGTACCTGAATCATAACAAAACCCACACTTGAACAGGTTCTTCAGCAGATGTACAGGACTGAATCTTAGGACTTTTTCTGAAGCAAAGAGAATGGTGTTCCAGGCCAAGGGGACACCCTGGCCGAGAGTGTTCTTTGGGCTCCATGAACGATGTCACATAAAACCTGGCCCAGGGGATCCCAACCCAACAATGTTTTATCACACTGTCTGAAGTAGGAATCAATATGTGCTATGTCATTATGCATGTGCACTCATTAAACACTCAAGAGGCCCTGAAGCCTCTGCCTTGTGGAAGCCTCAGAGTGCAGCGGACTGGACACAGCTCAGCCAGATGACATCAGCCAGACTCTCTCCTCGGGCCCCTCGCTCCTCTTCCCTCTCACATCCACCCCCTGGCACTGGGGAATCACTGACTATTTACAGTGAGTGTTAATTAAATGGACCAGCGATTTCATTCTGTAATAAACAGAAATGTCACATTTGGAATGCTGACTTTTGGTAGCAAAAAGGAGTGATCCTAATGAGAAGGATAATTGAGACTGCTGTGAGTTTCTGCGGCCAAATCTCTCTGATGATTACAATTTCAACAGAACTGAAATCTTAACTGGGACGCCCAGTGGAGGTCTGGCAAGCTCTGTTAGCAGGCACCTCATTTTAGACCCATGCCATCGCTGCCCCGTAAGGGGCAGGAAATTGCAACCGGGGTCGCCCCCTAGTCGGGAAAGACACTAACAGGCAGGTTATGAACTGGATGTATATCCCCTCCTCTGAATTTAAGCTTCCTCCTTCGGTTTCTCTATCGCCCACCTCAGTTTATCGTTTGTGAAAGGCTACGTTTCAGGAGACAGACCTCATCTCCCTTTATTTTCCTACAAACAGTGCAGGTGACCAGAGCTCCAGGGACACGTGGGGAGATAATTACAGGAACAGCCCAGACACAGACGAAGCACTCCGAGCACAAACTTCTATCTACACGAAGAGAGGGAGACCTCCTTAGGTGGGCTGGTAAATGTTCCTCGTGTGTGTGTGTGTGTGTTTTTTTTTACTTGACCTATTTCTCAAGCCTGCCTGGTGGATGCTCTCAGAGGATCATTGTTCTCCAGTTTGGGG